TTTTTTTTTTTTTTTTTTTTTTTTTTTTTTTTTTTTTTTTTTTTTTTTTTTTGTCTCATCTTCTCTACTATGATAATAAGGAAGTTTGAAGTATATGAGTTTATCTTATGTTGATCATGAGTAGTGAGTTTCCTTTAGTAGATTACAGAAGTGGAAGCTAGGCTGAACTGAACCAACAAAAGTAAAAACGTAACTAATGAGAAATATGTAATTTTCTATAGGCTAGCGTTGATCTTTTAGACCAACATACATATGTACTAAAAAAAAAAACATACATATGTACTACAAACAGAAACCAGTTTATATATTTACAATTTCTCTTTTGACCGAAAAGTAGACTATATATAGGAAGAGAATCTTAAACGTATGATACTGTCAATGTAGGAAAAGTCTCCATACTATTTACCATTTTCTTATACGGATTTAAATAGTTAGGTCTCTCGTATCAATAGTAAGCTAATTATATAGATAGATGGATTAAAAGAAAAAAAGAAAATGTAAGAATCTTTAGTGATTAATTACTAATGCATTACTGTAGTCACTCTAATTTTGTATGATTAACAAGTAACACTAGAGTTGTATTCTTTATCTTGTTTTTTCTTTATCAGAAACTAGGCAACCTAGAACTATCTTATCAAAAAATAATTTTGTCTGAAGATTCAACTGTTTTTGTGGTTATTGAATAGGGAACGTATTGCGATAAGAAGTAAACAAACCAACATTCATGTCGGTCCCGTGACTAGTATATGTCTGACTTCTGCGTGATATACATGCACACCACATAATGGATCCAATGTAATTGATAACTGAATGAAAAATCAAATTATGCAAGAATTCATATCTGTTCCAAGGAATCATCAATTATTCTTACATTACTTGCAGACTTAAATTTTGCTTTTAGATGGTATTTTATTGTTTGATCAGAAAACAATTATGCTTCTGCATATGGTACCGCCTTGAGAGAAATTTTAGGATTGGCATATATAAACTCGCTTAAAGCAGGTTTACGTAAGAGTAATATAACTATATATATAGTATATACCAAAACTGGACCACATGAACAAAAAGAAATGGACCACGTTTGAGTGTTGATGAGCCCTAAACATCTAAATGGGTGGGTAGTACGTAAACGTATTTGATTTCTCTGAATCGTTATTAACATAAATTTGGTTCTCTCTTTAGTACGATACATGTTTGCCCTCTTCGATCAAAACTCTGAATCTTTTTCGCTTCTCATACCTTATGATAAGTCAACATCTCAAGAGCGCATATATTATATCGCACGTTGTGTTGTCAAACCTATATACCAATATATAGTAGACACAAACCCCAAATTGTCCATTATTAATATTTTCTCAAATCATCCTTTTGTGAAATTTGAAAATTTAGACATCAATCGTTTAAAGCTTGTAACATTTACGAATATATGTTAACTTAGGACCATTTTAACATCACGCCTTGTCTTCTTTTTTTGGTGTGTGCGTGTGACCACACTGATCAGTTCATGATATTTCGTGCGCATTTTTCTATGGTGAAAATTGAATTTTCTACGCCAGTATATTTATCATAAGGGACTTTCATAACGTTATAATTTTTGCGACATTTGGAAGTTTGTGAGTTATGACGTGCCAAGTCTTTTGTTGTCACAACTCATATTCTAATACAGTATAACCTCTTTAAATTAATAATCTATAAATTAATATATTTTCATAGTCCCAAATTGAATTTTTGGTTCAATTAATATCTCGATAAATTAATAATCTCTATAAATTAATAATTTTTTTAGTTTTGGTGTAGTCCCAACATTATTAATTTATAGAGGTTTCACTATAAAAAACAATTTTTGATCGATAAAGAAATTATTACGAAGAACAATTTTAGCGGTCATGTTGAAAATATTATATTTAATAGCAAAAATGATTACCTACAAAAAGATGTTTTCACAAAACTCTAGAATTAGTATAGGCAATTACTAAGCAAAATTTTAATAATGATGACTTGGCGATGGTACTATAGTAAACCAACTTTTTTATAGGAAGAGAGGAGAGTGCTGGCATATTGAAGAGATTCAGTTTAGGATTTCCTGGTCAATACAGAGAAGGAGCTGATCTATCGAATTGAAAACATGAGAAGCATTCGTTTATAGAGACTAACTATGATATCAGTATAAAATGAAATAAATTTTACATTCTTTATATTCCCTTAAACCAAAAAAAAACTTCACATACTTCACTATTTCTAGTCCAATGGTAATAGTCCAATGGCATTTGAAAAAAAAAAAATCATATATGGAAAATTTTGGTTTGAATTCCACTAGACATACAGATAAAAATTATTGTTTCGGTCCATCTAAATATTTAGAAGAGAATTTATATGTGGACTGTATCTTCATCCAAGAATTATGTCTTTTTAAAAAATCTGGTTTTAATTTTTATTTTACCAAAAATAAAAAGAAGAAGATAATTTTAGGGTTTAGATGCAAATACGGAATCGACAGCGCACACAACTTTTCAAAGCAACTTCTTACTGTGTCTTATTTTGGATTAGATTCTCTGCCACGCAACTAATCACAGCCCTCATTTATACGAGTCCATTATCTCTTCCTTTTTTTCTTCTTTTATAACATTGTGACACCCAATAGATTCTCAGTCCAATAATTATCTTTCGGAAGTTACAGCTAAGAAAAATGTATTTTGTTTTTTGCCGAAAATCTGATTGAATATTATTTCATTAATAATATTTTCAATACAAGGAAAAGGCCAAGAAAGATGTAATTAGACGTTCTGGAGCGGATAATACATTTTGTGGTTCCAAGCACCAAGCATCGTTTGTCTATGGATTCTTCTTAGGAGGGAATAGGGCCTACTTACTGGAGGTCCATTAAGAATCTTTTTTAGCAGATGTTTCCGAAACGATTAAGCCCATCTAGTATAAGAAAAGTATTACTAAGGATATTATTCTTATTTAATTTTCTAGGTTTTGTAATCTTAAAATTTAAATATAATTAGATTTTTGATCCGCGCTTAACAAGCGCTAGTACTATTTTGGTTGTTTTATTTACAGATGGATCGATAACTCTTTTGCTTTGATGATATAAAATATTAGAAAATCAAGATCAAATTATTATGTGGGTATGAAGAAATTTTTGTTTTATAATGTCTAAGACAATTTTTTTATGTTTATAAATAAGTTAACAATGGTTGTACCTAATTGTGTACTTGAAAAAGATTGTATATTTAACAATTAAATGGTCCAATATTTTTTAGTTTTGTGATTAATTTGTAAAATCATTTAGTTACAAAATTTCAATCTCCCAGTCCGACCCGACCCGTCCGACCCGCAACTGGTTGAGTCATTTTTTCTACTAAAAAAATTGACCCATCTGATCCGCAAAGAAAATATATTTTTGAATTTTTTTTTTATAAAATTTAGAAGAAAATCATCCCACTAAGGAAACCCATTAGTATATAATTTTTAGGTCCAAAAAACAAAAGACTATATTACCATTAATGAAAATAAAAAATTGTTTATATCATTAAGGGTATAATTGGAAAATAGAAAAAAATCATTAAATAGAATGTTTATGTTTTAATGGCATTGATTCTAAATTTATGTGTGAAAATAAATTTAATTTTCAATATATTTAATCATGAAAACTATTTCAATTCACTTCTAGTAATTCAATATAAGCAAACCTTAAAAATCATTTGGTCTTGAATAATACTATATGATTATTTTTAAAACTTTAACTGAAAAGCACCAAACATTTGAAATCATTAGTTATATTTTACAAAAAGTATCTTAGAATACCAGTTTTGTAAGCATGATTTAGAATTGTTAAATAAATAACATTGGAGTGTGTATAACATTGAGGATTTTCAAATAACATTGGAGTGTGTATAGATTTAAATAGTATTAAAATTGAATAAAAAGTCCAAAATTAACGTAAAACACACACACATTTGAGGATTTTCACTTTTCAGTATACATTATTTTTCCTTTCATTATTAAACTCTTTAAGTTCACATCACAACATAGAACATATAGACAAATCTGACATTATCATATTTTTCTCTTCTAATTCTACAAGTACATAACCCAACATATACGAACATAAATTTAAAAAAAAAAACAAAAAACAAATACGAACATAAGAAAATAAAAAGTAATGTTTGCCGAAAAAGAAAAAAAAAATATAAAAAAATCTAAAAAGTAAGAGAAGATTAATGATTTTAGGGAAACGAAAGAATCATAAATAGCGTGTACACCACTCCACCGTTAAATCTGTTTCTTATGCGGAGAAGAAGAAGAAGACAAGAAGAACAGGGAGGAGCACAGAGGCGAAGACAGACACTTCTGGTCGGAAACCACCGTTAGGAAGAAAAGGGTAAGTGTCAGGAGGAGGCATGACACAATTATCTCCATTAAAGTAGATCCTACGAGGAAAAGCCCATCCTTTCTCAAAAGAAAACGTTGCTTGATCCTTACGGAACAGAATCTCAGACTGTACATTCCCAAGAGGCCCTGCTTCCGACAAGAAGTCATTATAGAACTTCACTCCCCACAACATAGCCGTATCATCTGCTCAAAAAAAACACAAAAAGAATCAATCTTTATGATCATTACAGAGAGAGGGGGAAGATAAGAAGAGAGTGGAGTAGTTTTTACTTAGTCCTGCGTAAGGAGTGAGAGATTTGTAGTTGAAGCTGAAGATCTGAGTGATGTTATCGAAATTTGGATGTTGTGCAACCATGTTCCACTGTGAGTAGTTTAAACGATAGTTGAAGTTTGTGATTGTGATCTTCACTCGCCAATACTCTTTGTAGTTCTGCTTCACGTGCCAATGCACTCTGATGGGACACAAGTGTCTCGTGCATTGAACTAAAGGAGGTAAGATAGTTCCTTTCTTGGTGGGTGGGGACACAACAGACGCTAAGTGAGGTGTATCAGGACTGTGTCATTACAAAACAGAGAAAAGGTTTAGACTTTGTGGTTTAAAAACAGAACAAGAAGACATAAAGTTTGATGCTTTACTCACTCAAGACAGGCACCAGACTCTGTTTTGTTGTTTTGGCATCCACATGCGCAAGTTGGACATCCAACAATGGTTTCGTTGTAGAAAGAAGACAAAGAAACGCAGCAAGTGGGTGTTCTTTGTGCAAGGAACTGTGAGTATGTGCATGTAATGTTCCATGTCACTGCGTTAAGTTAAAAACAAGACGATTAGGTTAGAGACAATGTTAAAGATCTCAAATCCTGAGTTTAGATGGACAAGACGATTAGGTTAGAGACAATGTTAAAGATCTCAAATCCTGAGTTTAGATGGGACATGAATAATATATAACAGTCTTGGGCCACTGCACTTATCGCCAATTGATTTTAAAATTAACCCGAGTCCCTTATATATTACTCATGTCCAATAAAATTCTCGATGTTGAATCTTTTCTCTAAGAGTTTCTTAAAAAGTCATTTGTGGTTCTTACTCATAGCTTGAGTGGTTCTGCGTGTGTCGGTGGTGACAAACTTGGTTGGTCTAACAACCTTAGCTGGACCACAAGTGTAGCCAGGACCAGGACCCATGAGAGTGAAGTTCCTCGGCACGCGGACGGTTTTGTTTGTGGTTCCAGCAGCACCAACACTGATCTGGAAAGAGCTAGCAGCATTACCAGGGTCTTGAACCCATGAGTTCAGTACACCTCCTTTGCAGCAATTAGCAATCTGCTGGTTATAAGGAGTCCCGGGGAGTAAATCCACAACCGTTGGATCTTTTTTACAACAATGTGGTATGTTTCCTTTGTACTTTGAACAATCACCTGTTAGAAACATTTAACACATGTTAATTAGTTACCAGAATATACACTAATGGTACCAAAAAGATTTTTAGTTTTACCTTGTTCGGTTGTTTGTGCTCCCACCATACTCCATATGACTTCTTTCTTTGCCCATTTCCATCCTAATGTCCATCCTGGAGATGGAATGTGTCTATATTTCTGGAAGTTGAACATGGTAACAACAGCCTAGACAGAACCAAATAAACAGTTTAGTGAATCTAAACCAATAAGCAAGGCTGATTTTTTGTTCTTTTATTGGTTATTGAACTTACAACATAGCCATCAGGAGTCCAGCTCATGACATCCCATTTCATTGTAATGTTACCTTCTGGATCAAGAGCATCATATGCTTCTGCAAATATAAATTTGAGTTATATACAAAAAAAAAGGGTCAGAACTTTGTTAATTACTATTAGTTTGTAGAAACTAGACATAGACCAAACTGTCTCTATCTACATAACTCACAAAAACCATGCATCATCAAGTTTTGTACTTTTTAAAGAAAGTTTCTATTTTTACATCAGAGAAAACTTGTTCTTTCCTGATATAAGCAGAATTGACTGATTTATTAAAAAAAAACATAGGAAGCAACTAATATGGAAATTGAAGTCTTAGCTTTAGGATCTGAGCTTTCACTAACTGAACAAAGATCTAAGCATTGATAAAGATCAAATTTGATACACAATTGACATTATCTCAATCAGTGAAGAAACAGAGTTAAGCAAACAGATCAATGTGATAAAGAGATAATAAGAAGTCTCACCTGTTGAAGTGAAATATGAGGAAGAAATCAAGAACACGATCAATACAGACAAGAAACTCAATCTGGAGATTACAGAGGTGGATCTGGAGAATAAAGACTCCATATTTTAGCTCTGCTGATCAGACCAGCAGTGTCAGAGATGAAGACTGCTACAGATCCCTTAGATGGGTCTGGTTTGAATTTAAGATGCTTTGCTTGAAGGAGAAGTGGACTTATGGAGAGAGAGAGAGCAGCAAGATTTTTTAAGCTTTGCAGATAGAAAGGAGAAGCACTGAGGAATATGGGGGCTGGCTGGCTAGTGGCTGTTTTAGTAAGTTTTTGAGTCTGGGGATAGTGATTTGACCCTTTTACCCTTCTATCATTTGTAGTAGTAATAAATGAGTTCAAATGATTTTTTTTTTTTGAACTTTAAGTTCAAATGATTTCCAACTAAAGAAACACCACGACAAGACAATGATATTTTCTCCATTGTGTTGTTCACTTCAGATTATTACTTTCTCCATATTTTTTTTTGAGAATTGGCTTTCTATTAAATTCTCCATATTTTACGTTAATTGTTTTCTGTTGATTGTAAAAAATTAACTGCTAACTACAATACAAAATATTGTGATGCGTTTAAAATTTGCAATAAAATTTTAGTGGAAAGAAAAAAATTTATACTTTAAAATACGAATGTGTTTGTAAAATAATTCATATGAAAATACGAAATATAACGTTTGAAGCAATAAAACCTAGATAAAATTATCAGGTCCGGTCATAGACTAAACCTATTGAAATATTTGCCATAGGTCTCCACAAATTTCGAAAAAATTTATATGTACATAGGTTCTTAAAAAATAATTTAGACTCCTATATTAGCTAGAAAAAAATTTTAGTTGAAATTTTTAAAAAATCGTCTAAGGCCCCAAAATCTTAGAATCGGCCTTGAAAATTATGTATGTGAAAGACAAGAGTTTCATGAAATGATTTGGTTCAAAACTAACCCCAAAAATTTAGGTGAAAGGTTGGTTTTATAAATGTCAAGGGCTTTTATGTAATTGCCATTAGAAGTTAGTTTAATACCAGAAGATATCATCGAAGATGACAGCTTTAGGAGGGAACGTGGGCCATTGACAGTGTTTTAGGCTGTCGGTGGAGAACAGAAAATCATGAATATATGTTTTCGATTATTCAATTATTTTGGATCATGTAAGTTAGTATTTTCCTTCTTTTTTTTCTCCAAAATTTAAAAGCTTATTGTTATTGTCGAACGAGAGAAACTAATTTGTAAAGTGATAATTATAGGTGTTTACTAGATTGGTTATATTCACAAAACTTAATTTCATACTACACAAAATAGTTGTCGTTTAAATCAGAAATTATGCTTAGATAGATGATTACCATAACTTGGATTTGATATTATTGAGATATTGAAATTTAAATAAAACGTGTCGGTCAATATATCATTTGTAGATGTTCTCCTACCCAACCACACTATATCAATTCAGATATTACAAAATCAACATTTTTTTGGTGACCGACTATAACGGTGATACACAATTACCCACTATACATATCTTTTCTCCAACATGAGCTTCACGTTAAGGTCTCGAAATTAGTCATTCGACGTATAAAATAATATAGGGTTAGTAAAGAATCTTTGTCAATATGTGGAAAAGATGAGACCCACTCCATGTTATTAAATTCACATTATCACGTACATTACTATATCTTGGATTATTTTTTGTAGAATGATTCATTAGTTCTTGTTAATTTATTTATTTATTGGTACCTTTTTACGCGGAAAAATAACAGCTCTTGTATATTGCCGACACTGTCAACTATCAAGAAACTACATACTAATCACTTTGTTGACAAATATACTAATCACTTTACTCCCAGAATATACTAGAACCAGAGAAACTTCATTTAGTTTGGTTGAGTTGATTTGAAAAAGTGAGTTTAAGATGATTAGATTAATGATTATTGTCTATAGACAAAGCCAAATATCCGAAATAAAGTTATTAAACCAAACCGACTTGTTGGCCAAAATATTCTTAAACTTTGAAACCTTCTGTTCGGTTAATATTTAACGAAACCAAAAATGAAAACCAAAATTCCAGATAGGTTAATGATACTTCAAACTCAAGCAACCAGGACTTTGAAGTTTGCACTTGTCTATAGAACTCACAGCATAACTTAAATAATACTATTTTATACGTTACTAGAGCTCACAACCATAACCTCTCAAACATGCGATCTTTAAATGACACGGAAGAGTTTGTAATCTAATCTGCATTGATGAAGCAAACAATGAGGCTGTTACGTAGGATGCAAGAATCAGTCTTTGTTACTTATGGAACAACAGTTAGATCAGTTCTGAAATGAATCGTCTAGAATACACTCTGACCAATCAAAGTATTGTTGTTTATTTTCCTTAAATACATAAACCATACATGAAAATACAGAACAAAAGAAAATTCTGGAGAGAGTCTCTCACTTATGAGATGATTCCTTTAGAGACTTTATGTGTTTCAAGTTGCCTTGTGGAAGACGCAAGTAATTTTCCATGTCACTGCATAAGAACAGAAACAAACCAAGGTGAGTTCAAAAAATCAAGAACTACAGATTTTGGAGATGTTTTAGGAAACTTACTCATGGCACTAGTGGTTCTCCTCAAGTCAGGGGTAATAAACTTAGTCCGCATAACGTTCTTAGTCGGTCCACAGATATACTCTTGTTTTGGTGCTGTGAACATGAAGTTCACCGCCATCCGAACAGTACTATTTGAGGTACCAGCAGCACCAACGGTTATCAGGAATGAACTTGCTAAACCGGGTTTTAAAACACCTCCTTTGCAGCAGTTAGCGATCTGCTGATTGTAAGGAGTTCCAGGAAGCATATCAATGACTGTTGGTTTACGAACACATGATTGAGGGATGTTTCCTTTGTACATGGAACAATCTCCTTTCTCTATGGTTTTTGCACCAACCATACTCCATATCACCTCTTTTTGGGCCCATGTCCAGCTCATTTTCCATCCTGGTGAAGGAATTGAACGTTGTTTCTGGTAGTTGTAAGCTGTAACTATAGCCTGATGGAAACATAAAGATTGAATATCATTGGTTAAGAAATCATATATATATTTATTGAAATTTTGTGAGACTTACTACGTAGCCATCAGGTGTCCAGTTCATGAGATCCCATTTGATTGTGATGTTTCCGTTGTTGCTGGTGAGGGCTTCTAAAGATAAGATTACTCAAAAGATTTTGGAAGAGACAAATCTTTTGTTCTTTATATTCAGAGACTTACCTGAAGAAGTGTAACATGAAAAGGAAACTAAGAGCAGGATGATAATGCCGGAGAAGAGAGACTCCATTCTTGTGGTTACAATGGAGAGAAAGCACGAGTGAGAGAGATAAGAGTTTTGTAAGAAGAAAGATCTAGGCGTCGAAATTTGACTTACAGTCAAGTGGGTGCATAGCTGTATTCATGTATCACTCTGAATACTATTCTTGTGGTACACCATGGAGAGATAGCGTAGACTTTGACTTTGACTTCATGATGTGGTGGCTACACATTTGCATTGCTGTATATTCAACGTAGATTACTTTACAAGTCACTTCTCACAACACAATAATAAACTAAGAATGAAGACTCTTTTTGGATATTGTTCGGGGATGTAGCTCATATGGTAGAGCGCTCGCTTCGCATGCAAGAGGCACGGGGTTCGATTCCCCGCATCTCCAAATTTGTAGATATTTTTTAGATATATTACTGATTATGTTTCATCACTTTCTTTTTTGTCTTGGCAGGGTTATATAAAATAGATAATAGTATGTCAAAGCATAGAAGAGAAATCATATGACACGGCTATTTGCTGCTGCTGGAGAAGAATTAATGTATGTCTGAAACATTGAATGTTTCTGTAACTCCCCGACCGTCCACGGTTAATGGGCCATCCACGACCGTTCACTCGGTCTATGGGCCCCATCCCGTTCCAACGATCGGTCCGTTAATTTTCCAAGGCTCTAGAGTCATGTTTATTGACCCTGCAATCACCACCCAACCTTTCCCCGTGCTTTGGCCTCACTTACACGGTATCGCAAATCACTTCCCGATAGGTCACCCATCCTTTGACTACTCCAGCTCAAGCATGCTTAACTCTGGAGTTCTCTCTGGATGTGCTCCCGAAAAGGTAAGTGCACTTTGGTGACATAGGTAGTCAAATCAATCCTCTTAAGCCTTTCCATATATCACAACTCGGGATGTTACAATTCACCCCCTCTCAAAGAACGCAACGTCCTCGTTGCGCTCTCCGATAGGTCTCAAGACGCCTCTCAGGTCAGAACTGAAATGGCTAACCAGCTCTGACTTTTTCTCTCACTTATTTAAGAGATCCTTGTTCTCTCACTTTTTTTTCAATAATGAAGCGGTCCAAAAATACCTGATTTGAACCCGAACCGAAAGGTTACGAGTGAGTACCTTTTGGGTCTAAATTTTTTTTACCCGAATGAATTCGCATCCGAAGAGAACCGATCCGAATAGACCCGGATCCAAAAAGAACCAACTCGAATAGATTCGCTCCAATAAGAACCGATTTGTACCCGACTTAAAAACATGCATATTCAAAATTATATTATTTTTAATTTTAGTTGAAATATCTTTTGTTAACAATATTTATTATTATTTTGTAACTTTTTAAGTAATATGAAATTTTAAAATATAAAATTTAGAGTTTAAATTTTTTTTATGTTAATTATTAATTTTTTAATTTAAGTTATTTTGTAAATATTTAGTTATATATGACAAATATTGATTAAATTTGACTGAGTTTGGGTATGTCATGTATTTTTTGAGATCTTAAATACCCGAATCTGATCCGGACTCGATATGGACCCGAACAATTATGGGTATTTTATAGGTATTGAACTATAGACCCGAATCGACCCAAACCTAACAAGACCCAACTCGGAATCGACCCGAAAAATTATAGATACCTATATGGGTCTAAATTTCCAAGACCCAAAAAACCCAGACCGACATGACCCGACCTGAAGACTCGGATGCCCATGCCTAAGGCCCAGTGTGTCCTCCTCATCTTCGCGTAGGTAGGTAGAGAAGAATACGGCCCTTTCTGAGTTTGGGATCCAAATAAGTTTGATTGCATTACTTGTTCTTTTCTCTTTTGAGCTAGGTTATAAAACCTCTATTATAGTATTATTCTATTTATAAGCAGCAGTTAATTGTTCATTACAATATATACTAGATTTTAAACCGTACAACCACACATATGTTTAATTTCATTATAGATATTTGTTATATATATTAGGTAAGGAATTTTTGCGATGTTCATGGTACATGGACATCATTTCTAATTTTCCAACAAGTAATTTACTTAAAGTTTATATACCACTTAATCAGAGAACAAACCCCCTATCAAAAATCATTTTTCTGAAGAAAAATGAACATCTAAGGTCTCAAACCTGTTTAACCTTCGTACTATGTCACTGCATGATACAAATATGCATTAAAACAAAATTTTCATATTTTTTCCATTTTTCTCGAAATATGTGCATTAACCCCTACGAAAAATTGAGTTTTTCACTAAATGTTATATTCAGAAGTTTAGGCCCTTTATTGTTGATCGAAAATTACCTAATCACATTCAAAATTTATATTAGTGTATGCTAAATGTATTTTCATGCTACATGAACATCGTTTCTATATTTTCATAAGGTAATTTATTTAAATTTCATATACCACTTAATCAGTGGACAAACCCACTATTAAAAAGAATTTCTATTTTCTAGAGAAACATGAATACCTAAAGTCTCAAACCTCTTTAACTTTCATACTATGTCACTGAATGATGCAAATATGCATTAAAACAAAATTTTCATATTTTCTCATTTTCTCGAAATGTGTGGGTTAACCCCTGTGAAAAAGCTGATTTTTCCATTAAATACTATATATACTATTTACCATCTTTCGTGTTGTTTAAAAAATACCTAAACGCACTCCAAATTTTTGTATATGTTTGCTTAACTTATCTTTATGGTACATGTGAATCATTTCAAATTTTCCAATAATTAATTTATTTAACATTCATATATCACTTAATAGTGGATTAACCCCTATAAAAATCCTAATTTCTGGAGAAATAGAAACATTTAAGGTCTCAAACCTATTTAATATTCATACTATGTTGGTGTATGATGCATCTATGCATGAAAATAAAAATTTCATTTTTTATATTTTTTCTAGAAATATGTGGGCTTAACCCCTATGAAAAAGCTGATTTTTTCCAATAAATACTATATATACTAATTACCATCTTTCCTATTGTTTACAAAATACCTAAACGCACTCCAAATTTTTATATATGTTTGCTTAACTTATCTTTATGGTACATGTGAATCATTTCAAAATTTCCAATAATTAATTAATTTAACATTCATATATCACTTAATAGTGGATTAACCCTTATAAAAATCCTATTTTCTGGAGAAATAGAAACATTTAAGGTCTCAAACCTATTTAATAACATACTATGTTGGTGTATGATGCAGATATGCATTAAAATAAAAATTTCATTTTTATCGTTTTGCTTGAAATATGTGGGCTAACCCCTATGAAAAAGCTGAATTTTCCATTAAATACTATATATACCATCTTTCGTGTTGTTTAAAAAAAACCAAAACGCACTCCAAATTTTATATATGTTTGCTAAAAATATCTTTATGGTACATGGGCATCATGTCTAACTTTCCAATGATTAATTTATTTAACATTCATATATCACTTAATATGTTGATTAACCCCTATAAAAGTCCTATTTTCTGGAGAAATAGAAACATTTAAGGTCTCTTTGATCAAAAAAAAAAGAAACATTTAAGGTCTCAAACCTATTTGATATTTATAATATGTTGGTGTATGATGCAGCTATGCATTAAAAAAAAAAAATTCATTTTTTATAATTTTTCTTGAAATATGTGGGCTATTTACCATCTTTTATAAATTTCATTTTTTATAATTTCCCTGTGAAAAAGGTGATTTTTCAATTTAATACTATATATACTATTTACCATCTTTCGTGTTGGTTAAAAAATACCTAAACGCACTCCAAATTTTTGTATATGTTTGCTTAACTTATCTTTATGGTACATGTGAATAATTTCAAATTTTCCAATAATTAATTTATTTAACATTCATATATCACTTAATAGTGGATTAACCCCTATAAAAATCCTATTTTCAGAATAGATAGAAACATTTAAGGTCTCAAACCTATTTAATATTCATACTATGTTGGTGTATGATGCAGCTATGCATTAAAATAAAAATTTCATTTTTTATAGTTTTCCTTGAAATATGTGGACTAACCCCTATGAAAAAGCTGATTTTTTCCAATAAATACTATATATACTATTTACCATCTTTCGTGTTGTTTAAAAAATACCTTAACGCACTCCAAATTTTTATATATGTTTGCTTGACTTATCTTTATGGTACATGCGAATCATTTCAAATTTTCCAATAATTAATTTATTTAACATTCATATATCACTTAATAGTGGATTAACCCCTATAAAAATCCTATTTTCTGGAGAAATAGAAACATTTAAGGTCTCAAACCTATTTAATATTCATACTATGTTGGTGTATGATGCAGCTATGCATTAAAATAAAAATTTCATTTTTTTATAGTTTTTCTTGAAATATGTGGGCTAACCCCTATGAAAACGCTGATTTCAACCATTTTCTTATACTCCTTTAAATAGTTAGGTCTCGCGTATCAATAGTAAGCTAAGGGGAAAAAGATTTATATAGATAGATGGATTAAAAGAAAAAGAAAATGTAAGAATCTTTAGTGATTAATTACTAATGCATTACTGTAGTCACTCTAATTTTTGTATGATTAACAAGTAACACTAGAGTTATATTCTTTATCTTGTTTTTTCTTTATCAGAAACTAGGCAACCAAGAACTATCTTATCAAAAAATAATTTTGTCTGAAGATTCAACTGTTTTTGTGGTTATTGAATAGGGAACGTATTCCGATAAGAAGTTAACAAACCAACATTCATGTCGGTCCCGTGACTAGTATATGTCTGACTTCTGCGTGATATACATGCACACCACATAATGGATCCAATGTAATTGATAACTGAATGAAAAATCAAATTATGCAAGAATTCATATCTGTTCCAAGGAATCATCAATTATTCTTACATTACTTGCAGACTTAAATTTTGCTTTTAGATGGTATTTTATTGTTTGATCAGAAAACAATTATACTTCTGCATATGGTACCGCCTTGAGAGAAATTTTAGGATTGGCATATATAATAAACTCGCTTAAAGCAGGTTTACGTAAGAGTAATATAACTATATATATAGTATATACCAAAACTGGACCACATGAACAAAAAGAAATGGACCACGTTTGAGTGTTGATGAGCCCTAAACATCTAAATGGGTGGGTAGTACGTAAACGTATTTGATTTCTCTGAATCGTTATTAACATAAATTTGGTTCTCTCTTTAGTACGATATATGTTTGCCCTCTTCGATCAAAACTCTGAATCTTTTTCTCTTCTCATACCTTATGATAAGTCAACATCTCAAGAGCGCATATAATATATCGCACGTTGTGTTGTCAAACCTATATACCAATATATAGTAGACACAAACCCCAAATTGTCCATTATTAATATTTTCTCAAATCATCCTTTTGTGAAATTTGAAAATTTAGACATCAATCGTTTAAAGCTTGTAACATTTACGAATATATGTTAACTTAGGACCATTTTTAACATCACGCCTTGTCTTCTTTTTTTGGTGTGTGCGTGTGACCATACTGATCAGTTCATGATATTTCGTGCGCATTTTCTATGGTGAAAATTGAATTTTCTACGCCAGTATATTTATCATAAGGGACTTTCATAACGTTATAATTTTTGCGACATTTGGAAGTTTGTGAGTTATGACGTGCCAAGCCTTTTGTTGTCACAACTCATATTCTAATACAATATAACTTCTTTAAATTAATAATCTATAAATTAATATATTTTCATAGTTCCAAATTGAATTTTTGGTTCAATTAATATCTAGTTTTTTTTGATACAAGTCACCAGAAATCACACTCCAAGCCAAGAATATTAAAAGAAAATAAAAAAACAAAGATCAGATGTTGGAGCCAAGCAAAGTGAGGAGGAAGTCCTTGTAGTCACCGGAAACATCACCAATAATAGCGTTATCCATGCTTGTATTGTACATGTTGAAGTACTCTCCTCTTGCTTTCATCAAATCAATCTCAGCACGCATCACAATGGCTCTCGTCAACGAGTCTTCATCTGTTCCAAACCCTTCAATGGAGTCACTTACAACCTGTAACAAAACATAAAACAAAACAACTGAGAGAGATACATGTAAAATCGCTAATATGTAAATTTCAGTAGTTTGATATACATGTCTAAATTTCCAAGACCCAAAAAACCCAGACCGACATGACCCGACCTGAAGACTCGGATGCCCATGCCTAAGGCCCAGTGTGTCCTCCTCATCTTCGCGTAGGTAGGTAGAGAAGAATACGGCCCTTTCTGAGTTTGGGATCCAAATAAGTTTGATTGCATTACTTGTTCTTTTCTCTTTTGAGCTAGGTTATAAAACCTCTATTATAGTATTATTCTATTTATAAGCAGCAGTTAATTGTTCATTACAATATATACTAGATTTTAAACCGTACAACCACACATATGTTTAATTTCATTATAGATATTTGTTATATATATTAGGTAAGGAATTCTTGCGATGTTCATGGTACATGGACATCATTTCTAATTTTCCAACAAGTAATTTACTTAAAGTTTATATACCACTTAATCAGAGAACAAACCCCCTATCAAAAATCATTTTTCTGAAGAAAAATGAACATCTAAGGTCTCAAACCTGTTTAACCTTCGTACTATGTCACTGCATGATACAAATATGCATTAAAACAAAATTTTCATATTTTTTCCATTTTTCTCGAAATATGTGCATTAACCCCTACGAAAAATTGAGTTTTTCACTAAATGTTATATTCAGAAGTTTAGGCCCTTTATTGTTGATCGAAAATTACCTAATCACATTCAAAATTTATATTAGTGTATGCTAAATGTATTTTCATGCTACATGAACATCGTTTCTATATTTTCATAAGGTAATTTATTTAAATTTCATATACCACTTAATCAGTGGACAAACCCACTATTAAAAAGAATTTCTATTTTCTAGAGAAACATGAACACCTAAAGTCTCAAACCTCTTTAACTTTCATACTATGTCACTGAATGATGCAAATATGCATTAAAACAAAATTTTCATATTTTCTCATTTTCTCGAAATGTGTGGGTTAACCCCTATGAAAAAGCTGATTTTTCCATTAAATACTATATATACTATTTACCATATTTCGTGTTGTTTAAAAAATACCTAAACGCACTCCAAATTTTTGTATATGTTTGCTTAACTTATCTTTATGGTACATGTGAATCATTTCAAATTTTCCAATAATTAATTTATTTAACATTCATATATCACTTAATAGTGGATTAACCCCTATAAAAATCCTAATTTCTGGAGAAATAGAAACATTTAAGGTCTCAAACCTATTTAATATTCATACTATGTTGGTGTATGATGCATCTATGCATGAAAATAAAAATTTCATTTTTTATATTTTTTCTAGAAATATGTGGGCTTAACCCCTATGAAAAAGCTGATTTTTTCCAATAAATACTATATATACTAATTACCATCTTTCCTATTGTTTACAAAATACCTAAACGCACTCCAAATTTTTATATATGTTTGCTTAACTTATCTTTATGGTACATGTGAATCATTTCAAAATTTCCAATAATTAATTAATTTAACATTCATATATCACTTAATAGTGGATTAACCCTTATAAAAATCCTATTTTCTGGAGAAATAGAAACATTTAAGGTCTCAAACCTATTTAATAACATACTATGTTGGTGTATGATGCAGATATGCATTAAAATAAAAATTTCATTTTTATCGTTTTGCTTGAAATATGTGGGCTAACCCCTATGAAAAAGCTGAATTTTCCATTAAATACTATATATACCATCTTTCGTGTTGTTTAAAAAAAACCAAAACGCACTCCAAATTTTATATATGTTTGCTAAAAATATCTTTATGGTACATGGGCATCATGTCTAATTTTCCAATGATTAATTTATTTAACATTCATATATCACTTAATATGTTAATTAACCCCTATAAAAGTCCTATTTTCTGGAGAAATAGAAACATTTAAGGTCTCTTTGATCAAAAAAAAAAGAAACATTTAAGGTCTCAAACCTATTTGATATTTATAATATGTTGGTGTATGATGCAGCTATGCATTAAAAAAAAAAATTCATTTTTTATAATTTTTCTTGAAATATGTGGGCTATTTACCATCTTTTATAAATTTCATTTTTTATAATTTCCCTGTGAAAAAGGTGATTTTTCAATTTAATACTATATATACTATTTACCATCTTTCGTGTTGGTTAAAAAATACCTAAACGCACTCCAAATTTTTGTATATGTTTGCTTAACTTATCTTTATGGTACATGTGAATAATTTCAAATTTTCCAATAATTAATTTATTTAACATTCATATATCACTTAATAGTGGATTAACCCCTATAAAAATCCTATTTTCAGAATAGATAGAAACATTTAAGGTCTCAAACCTATTTAATATTCATACTATGTTGGTGTATGATGCAGCTATGCATTAAAATAAAAATTTCATTTTTTTATAGTTTTCCTTGAAATATGTGGACTAACCCCTATGAAAAAGCTGATTTTTTCCAATAAATACTATATATACTATTTACCATCTTTCGTGTTGTTTAAAAAATACCTTAACGCACTCCAAATTTTTATATATGTTTGCTTGACTTATCTTTATGGTACATGCGAATCATTTCAAATTTTCCAATAATTAATTTATTTAACATTCATATATCACTTAATAGTGGATTAACCCCTATAAAAATCCTATTTTCTGGAGAAATAGAAACATTTAAGGTCTCAAACCTATTTAATATTCATACTATGTTGGTGTATGATGCAGCTATGCATTAAAATAAAAATTTCATTTTTTTATAGTTTTTCTTGAAATATGTGGGCTAACCCCTATGAAAACGCTGATTTTTTCCATTAAATACTAAATATACTATTTACCATCTTTTGTGTTATTTTAAAAAATACCTAAACGCACTCCAAATTTTTTATATATGTTTGCTAAACATATCTTTATGGTACATGAGCATCATTTCGAATTTTCCAATGTCTAATTTATTTAACATTCATATATCACTTAATATGTAGATTAACACCTATAAAAATCCTATTTTCTGGAGAAATAGAATTATTTAAGGTGTCAAACCTATTTAATATTCATACTATGTTGGTGTATGATGCAGCTTTGCATTAAGACAAATTTTCATTTTTTTTTATAATTTTCCTTGAAATATATGGGTTAACCCCCTATGAAAACGCTGATTTTTCCATTAAATACTATATATACTATTTACCATCTTTCGTGTTGTTTAAAGAAATACCTAAACGCACTCCAAATTTTTATATATGTTTGCTTAACTTATCTTTATGGTACATGTGAATCATTTCAAATTTTCCAATAATTTATTTATATAACATTCATATATCACTTAATAGTGGATTAACCCCTATAAAAATCATATTTTCTGGAGAAATAGAAACATTTAAGGTCTCAAACCTATTTAATATTCATACTATGTTGGTGTATGATGTAGCTATGCATTAAAATAAAAATTTCATTTTTTATAGTTTTTTTGAAATATGTGGGCTAACCCCTATGAAAAAGCTGAATTTTCCGTTAAATACTATATATACCACCTTTGGTGTTGTTAAAAAAAAACCTAAACGCACTCCAAATTTTATATATGTTTGCTAAACATATATTTATGGTACATGGGCATCATGTCTAATTTTCCAATGTCTAATTTATTTAACATTCGTATATCACTTAATATGTAGATTAACACCTATAAAAATCCTATTTTCTGGAGAAATAGAATTATTTAAGGTGTCAAACCTATTTAATATTCATACTATGTTGGTGTATGATGCAGCTTTGTATTAAAACAAAATTTTCATTTTTTATAATTTTCCTTGAAATATGTGGGTTAACCTCTATGAAAACGCTGATTTTTCCATTAAATACTATATATACTATTTACCATCTTTCGTGTTGTTTAAAAAAAATACCTAAACGCACTCCAAATTTTTATATATGTTTGCTTAACTTATCTTTATGGTACATGTGAATCATATCAAATTTTCCAATAATTTATTTATTTAACATTCATATATCACTTAATAGTGGATTAACCCCTATAAAAATCCTATTTTCTGGAGAAATAAAAACATTTAAGGTCTCAAACCTATTTAATATTCATACTATGTTGGTGTATGATGCAGCTATGCATTAAAAGAAAAATTTCATTTTTTTATAGTTTTTCTTGAAATATGTGGGCTAACCCTTATGAAACAGCTGAATTTTCCTTTAAATACTATATATATCATCTTTCGAGTTGTTTAAAAAAAACCTAAATGCACTCCAAATTTTTATATATGTTTGCTAAACATATCTTTATGGTACATGGGCATCATCTCTAATTTTCCAATGTCTAATTTATTTAACATTCGTATATCACTTAATATGTAGATTAACACCTATAAAAATCCTATTTTCTGGAGAAATAGAATTATTTAAGGTCTCAAACCTATTTAATATTCATACTATGTTGGTGTATGATGCAGCTTTGTATTAAAACAAAATTTTCATGTTTTATAATTTTCCTTGAAATATGTGGGTTAACCCCTATGAAAACGCTGATTTTTCCATTAAATACTATATATACTATTTACCATCTTTCGTGTTGTTTAAAAAAATACCTAAACGCACTCCAAATTTTTATATATGTTTGCTTAACTTATCTTTATAGTACATGTGAATCATATCAAATTTTCCAATAATTTATTTATTTAACATTCATATATCACTTAATAGTGGATTAACCCCTATAAAAATCCTATTTTCTGGAGAAATAGAAACATTTAAGGTCTCAAACCTATTTAATATTCATACTATGTTGGTGTATGATGCATATATGCATTAAAATTAAAATTTCATTTTTTTATAGTTTTTCTTGAAATATGTGGGCTAACCCTTATGAAAAAACTGAATTTTCCTTTAAATACTATATATACCACCTTTCGTGTTGTTCAAAAAAAACCTAAACGCACTCCAAATTTTATATATGTTTGCTAAACTTATCTTTATGGTACATGAGCATCATGTCTAATGTTCCAATGATTAATTTATTTAACATTCATATATCACTTAATATGTTGATTAACACCTATAAAAATCCTATTTTCTGGAGAAATAGAATTATTTAAGGTCTAAAACCTATTTAATATTCATACTATGTTGGTGTATGATGCAGCTTTGCATTAAAACAAAATTTTCATTCTTTATAATTTTCCTTGAAATATGTGGGTTAACCCCTATGAAAACGCTGATTTTTCCATTAAATACTATATATACTATTTACCATCTTTCGTATTGTTTAAAAAAATACCTAAACGCACTCCAAATTTTTATATATGTTTTCTTAACTTATCTTTATGGTACATGTGAATCATTTCAAATTTTC